TTGATTTTTTTTTTTTTTTTTTTTTTTTTTTTTTTTAAAATCGAACCAGATCTATCTAAATGAGCCAAACAAAATCATTTAAAGACAAACCAAACAAAAAGCACTTGTGTGCATAATAGTGCTTCTGAAGGGATCAGCTGGACTCAGCTATAGTTATGGCTGCTGAAAAGCAAGATTTTCTTGCACAAAACCATACTAGTACAGCTCAATTCTTGCCTACAACACCACCCTTTCCTCCATATATTGTGTGACCCATCCAGACCTACCACTATCTTCCCTACTCTTCCAATTCTTGGCTCTCACACAACACTCTGTTTAAGCTCCTATACCTAGACACACTTCATCCCTTCCTATTCCAGTCCTGAGTAACTATGCATCTCTCAAGATCATAGTATCATAGTACTTGGGGTTGGAAGGGACTAAACAGATCATCAGGTCCGACCTCCTGCCCCAGGCAGGAATGGGTGCCGGGATCACATCATCCCAGCCAGATATCTGTTCAGCCTCCTCTTGAAGACCCCCCCAAGGTAAGAGAGAGCACCACCTGCCTTGAGAGCCCATTCCAGAGCCTGGCAGCGCTAACTGTAAAGTAATGTCTCCTGATGTCCAGCCTGAACCTTCTCTCTGACAATTTGTGGCTGTTATTCCTAGTAACCTCAGGCGGTGCATCGGGGAACAAAGCTTCCCTCAATTCCCACTGGTCCCCCCTGGTGAGTTTGTAAACGGCCACCAGATCCCCTCTCAGCCTTCTCTTGTGGTGGCTGAACAGGTTCAGGCCCTTTAGCCTCTCTTTGTAGGGCCTGCCTTGCTGCCCCCTGACCATGAGAGTGGCCCCCCTCTAGACCCTCTCAAGGTTAGCCACATCTCTCTTGAAGTGCGGCACCCAGAACTGGACGCAGTACTCCACTGCGGCCTGACCAGTGCCACATAGAGGAGGAGGATCACCTCCTTGGACCTGCTTTGTGATGCATCTGTAGATGCATGACAAGGTGCAGTTAAGCGTTACCGACCACTTTCTCGCATCAGCGGCTCATGTTCATCCTGGAGTCAACAATGACTCCAAGATGCCTTTCTGCCACCGTGTTGACAAGAAGGGTGTTCCCCCCAGTCTATAGGTGTGTTGCTGGTTCCTTCTCTCTAAATGCAGCACCCTGCACTTGTCTGCATTGAATTGCATCCTATTCTCATCCGCCCACCCCTGTAACTCGTCCAGATCTAGCTGGATTCTGTCCCTCCCCTCCAGCATGCCCACCTCACCCCACAACTTGGTGTCATCAGCGAATGTGGACAGCATGCATTGCACACCCACATTCAGATTGCTGATAAAGATGTTGAGCAGTACAGGCCCCAGGACTAAGCCCTGAGGCATCCACTGCCCACATCCCTCCATGTCGAAAATGACCCGTCCACCACCACTCTCTGGGTGCAACCATCTAGCCAATTTGCAACCCATCTGACTGTGTAGGCATCAATGCCACAGTCACCAAGATGTGCCTCATTTGTGACCTGAAATACCCCCAGCTATGAAAATCCTAGGTTCCCAGCTCAGCTCTATCAGTGAAGCTCTCTCCTGCTATGCAGCAAACTCTGCCAGTTAAATCAAAGCGTTTCTGAGAGGGCAGACTCATGATGGTCTACCCTGCTATAGGAACTCAGGTGATACCAGTGCATATATATTTTCATTTTGGGGAAGGAATCTTGCTACATTACTTCAGCACTTCAAATACTTTTTGTAAACTTTGGAGCAAGACATACACTGAACCTGAATAACTTGAACTAAAATGTCCAGCATATTAGCAATTTCAGCTTTCCCACATTGGATCACAGTTTGTGGTGGCCTGAGAAGGGCCAAATGTTTTACAGAACAAACCCTAGCTATGCGCAAGATAGCTAGAATCAAAGCTATTCATGAAATCTAGCTGGCTGGTGAGTTATCATTTATAACATGTTAAAAATATAAATCTGCATGGTACAGTATATTTTCCCAACCGGACAAACTTTTACAAAGACTCACATAATAGATGCTAGCATTTGATATTTTGTCAGAGGTGCTAGATAGATGACAAATGCACAGAATCCTCAAAGCAAAAGCTGCTGTTAGTTATAAGTCAGAAGATTCAGGCTTCTGTTTTTTAAAGATGGATTTTAGGTTAGTAAATGAGAAGGCAGGCATGCTTAGGTACTTGAAATTCTATTAGTTTATAGAAGTCTTTGATTGTATTGTGTCCAACAGCTTGTACAGTACACTTCCAAATATCTACAAAGAGAAATCTGTCCCATTTCTATTGATTAGCTAGGCGCAGAAAGGCACTTCTTCCCAGATCCAAATCACGTTTATATACACGGTAGCTTGCTGTGATACTAATATTATCTACCTACCAACAGCTGGGCTCAAAACAGGAATGCGATTCACACAGGTCAAACAGTCATTGGCTAGTAATGTGACATATGGTTACAACCTGCTGTATCTGGACCATGCCCAAATGGTCCAAAGTAAAATAACCTGTACCTAAATTGCACAGCTATCTAGCTCCCACCCACTCCCTCTTCCTCCACAAGTGATATCTAAGATTCTCTCGTGAGCCATTAATTACTGGGAAGGAAAAAAAATAAAGAACAGTAGCTATGAAATCTGGGACCAGATCTTCAGATATGTTATTTCACTTCAGTTGAGAATCTGAGCTGAGATCATGAATCCCAACTCTGGACGTCTTACTAATAGCTTTAAATCACTAGGGATAGTGAATCTAGACTTATCCCACAGTTTTACTCTTTGACAGTTTACATATTTTGCCTCTCTGCTGGAGAGAAAAGAACCCTCATTTTACTAGGGACAAGTCTATATGAATGTCAATGTCTATAAAAGATCAATCATTCTGGAGCAATGCAGTGATGCATCTCGTTAGCTCTCACTGGTTCTTTTGCTGCTAGGATCATACGTTTTATGGAAAAATCAGAGAAAGTCAGAGGAAAAAAAAAAAAGAGTTCAGGACAAATAATGCAACTTTGCCAACACTTGAGACCAACACAGACACAAGCAGCCATCACCTCTTCTAGCATCCTACCTTGTAGAAGACCTTTTACCAAGTGGAAGAAATGCCCCCACCCCAAAAACAGACAAAGCAAACACATTTAGGCCACCACAGCAGAAAAACAGACTACAGGCATAAAGCTGACAAGACTCTGCAGTGCTCTTTTGCTGCTGCACACTTATTTATACCATACCTTCTAAAATTAAAGTCAGCACCCGTGGCAATGTACTGTACGCCAGAAGGACACCAACTCAAGCTAGGAACATCAAAGGCAGAGAAAGGAAAAGGGCAGCAATTATTGGACTGGCACAGAAAGGGGATGTTTAAAGACCCTTGCTTCTTTTTAGAGATATCTTTTTTAAAAAAAAAAACCAAAACTTTTTATGCAAGTTTGTGGTTGATAAAGCAGACCAGCTTGTCTGCCCTAAGAAACCATACAGCCCCCTTTATTACCAGACAACAGGTTACAGGGCAGTTCAAGCCTCTCTCAAGCTGGCTGTACCAGTGAGCACCAACAGTGAATGGTAGCGAGCACTTCCGAGTGACAGCGGAGCTCATACTTCACGCCCACTGAATGGGAGGGGGTGTCAACTGTGAACATGCTTTTACAAATGTGGAACTGGGACCCACCAAGCCAATATGTTACAAACCATGGGGCAGCACTGAAGTACCTGGTCTGTTACTGGTAATGATGAATGGCAGCTGCCATCAAAGGACCTGAACAGTGCTTTAAAGCAGGGCCGTACAACTTCTGAGCAGCCAGGGGCTACATACTGCATTTCCCACCTCCAGGCTCCAGCTGCTCCAACAGGCTCTATGACCCTGCCCATGGGTGGGGGCAGGAAGTGGAAGCCACAGCTACAGGAGCAGTAGGGGGGAAAACGGTGCCAGTAGGACAGCCCAGCTTTAAAGCATTTAATGGAATAAACCCCACTCCAAGGAGTTTAATTATTAATCTCATTTTTGCAAATAGGGAAAAAGGAGGCAGGAGCGTAGGCAATTTGCCCAAGGCTGCACAGAAAGTCACTGTCAGTCAGAAATAGAAACATCTCCTGACTCCTAGTCCTGTATTTAAAATCACAAGACAATACTAATTTTTTTCCAGTTCCCTTAGGATGAATTCAAATGCACACTTTCAACATACCAGCCACCAGTCTCTGAAGTTACACCACAGAACAAAATCACCCTCGCCTCCCACCTTGTCTCTCTCCTATATGCGGTTCTAGCGCTCTGAGCAAAACGGGAGAAGGGGTCTTCCGAAAAGTGTCAAAGGAATCGAAATGAATGGAATGGTAAAAGCAGTTTGCTGAATGAAGTGTGACATTTTGTTGGAAGATTAAACAAGTTGCCGTAGATATGGCCAGCAACTGCAAGGCCAGGAGTTGTATTCATTTCTGTTTGGTTTTGGTTGAGATGCCTAATTAACCTGTGACACCTCCAGTGAAGCTCCTCTCCCTTCAGATGCAAAAGCTCTTTTCTGAAGGCTTCCAAAACATCGCCATAAATAGCCATTGTGACGAGCACCTTACTGTAACATGAAGACCTTTTACACTCTTTACAGCCATTACTTTCTTAAACTAGTGTGGAGCAGGGAAGTATTAGCCCCATTTTACAGCTGGGAAATCTGAGAACAACAAGAAAAGAAACTTGTTTAAAGTCAAAGGAACCGGTGTGCTGCTTGACTACAAATAGCTCCCATCACTTGTAGCTGTTCTCATCTACAAAATTGTGTTGAATCTTCCTGAAGGACCCATGTGTCCTATCCCATGAAGATCCAGCTCCTCGGAGTTGTGTGTGCTTTGGGGCGAAGGGGGGTTTAGCATATAGGCTCTTGAATGATTAAAATTAACTTTCAGTGGACAATAGTGAAGTAAAAGGAATAAGAAACAGACATATCTGAACATAGAAAATTTTCTATTGAAAATTTATAGTGACAATTTTGGACTTTATAATGGCAGGGCAGGAAAACAGAGGAGTAGCACCGAGGAGGCAGCACAGAGGAAATGACAGAATGTCCCAGAGAGGGATAAAATCTCTTGGCAAACATGCTGGAAAGAGAAATGTATAGAATTATAATCTTGCTGGTGAGCCACCCACCATCTGCTGGCAACACTATGCAAAACTTGAGAGAGTGGATCATTGTACAACATGTACAAATCCTTTATAGAAAGATCTGGGTGGAGAAAAAGGCTATTGTGTGCGAGACTGCTGACTAGAACTGATTTCCACTGTCCTCTCTACAGTGCCATTTCTAGGCTACCAAAATGGCTGAGACCCTGGAAAAGAGGTGCAGGGAATAAGCATGGTTTCTAAAGAATCTGATCTAAATTTTCAAAAGGTAACTAGGGGTTTGAGTGGCCTGCTTGAAAGAAGTTACCATTATGATGACCAGTGTCCTCTCCCAGGACACTATAGACTCAATGCTGATCTGAAGAAGTCGGGTAGATCCGCTACGTATTAATTAAGTGGCTAGCTCACAAAGTGAACACGGAACCAGCAAGTTCATTCATGGCACGCAATATCACTCAAAGTCTAATCTGTCGGCAGTGATTAAGACAGATGCAGGTGTCAGAAAGTAGGCAGCACTCAAGTGAAAAACTCATGGGAAAGGACAGAATAATATCACCATTTCCTCCTTCATGCTCACATGCTTTTTCTTCCTCAACGGCATGGTGAAATCAGTTAAGTACTCAGGTGAGATTTCCCTCTCTAGTAGGTGTTACAATAAAAAAGGAAGATGCTGTATTAGGTGTGTGTAGTATCCACTCCTCAAGGCTGTGCTTGGGGACCAAGCATTCTGCATGTTACAGCAAGGTGCAAGTCAAACAAAGCAGGTCTTTACTGGAGCTGAAAGACGAGGTTTAATAGCCTTATACAAGGCTTGTCTAGGGTTGACAGCTTATCCTACAGCTGTGAGGAGAACAAAAGGCTGTTTCTATAGACTTGTGTAGAACCAGGGCTCAAAACCTTTTTCAAGAGCTGTGCCCACTGTTGCTCATACAGGCTAATCATGCTGATGCTTTGACAAGGAAGTCAAGACAAATATGCCTGATCCTCAGGTGTGCCTGTGTAGGTATACATATATATCTTATATGCATGTGGGGTTAGAAATCAAATTCCTGCCAGATGGAAAGGAGTAAACGTGGCTATGAAAGCTATGCTTATTTTTCAGCTTTTCAGGAGATGGCACATTATTTATCTTATGCATCATTTTCAGTTATCTTCCCTCAACTGCCAATCATGAATATCTTGGCATTTGAATTTGATACATTTTAAATAACAGTTAAGGATACATGGGCAAACAAATAATGACATATCCATTCTTAATTCAACTGTACATCCCAAAGAAGGAAAAAATATCCAATAGAATAATCTGCAACATCCAATAACCTTCAAACCACCTCGTGAACAAGCTGTCCTGGAGAAAACTGCCTTGCAGCGTGCTTTGAAAGTCACTGAGCTTGGACTGTAACAGATCAAGGGGGAAAGCAATGGAGCTGGGTATCTGTTCCAGGATGAGATGCATGTTTTGAGGAGCACGGGCGCTAACCTCAAATTAGCTACCATGAGAGTATGAAGTTAGTACACATTCAAATGCAAAAGGGTTAGTTAAATTAGTTGGCGCTGTACCTTCTCCTATGAATGGGAGGCTTCCTTATACCATCCCCCAGAACTCGCATTGAACTGAAAATGAATCATGGACAGTGGTCAGCAATTAGAACGGAATAAAATGAACATATGGCAGTTGCATGAAAAAAATGGGAAAATGAAACCTGTCGCATCAGAACCAATGCACCACCCATAAAAGCTCTCTTCTCTCTCTTTTTTACTGAACAAAGATTCAAGGTTACTTAGAGCTGATGATGAACATGGGTCAGCTAACTGTAGGGGGACAAGCTGTGCCCCAACGGTTCAAAAGCAGCCATCGCTACCAACCACCGCTAGCAAGGGCTCTAGCTGCGTAGTGTAAGCAAGGTCTGTATAGATATCATTGAAATAGTCAACCTTTTCTTTCCTGTCATGAAAAGGACTGTAGTCTGCAGGGCGAGAGAGGCTGGAAACCCAGCATGAATTGTAAGAATTGCTGAGGGTGAACATGATAAACTGAAGCTGTGTACATTTTTGTTATGAGGTTTATGAAGAATAAGTATTTTAAGAAAAAAAAATGTAGGCATTTATAGGTAAAGCAGTGAAGGAGAAGGAAAAACCAAGCATGTGTTTTAATTCCTGATCCATATTTTGTTGTTCTTTAAAAACAAAAAAGTTTGTTCTGCTTTGTGGGCTTCCCTGCTTCTTGCACCAACAGCTGCCCCAGAGTGTGATCCATTTTCCACTGTATGAACAGAAAGCCTCCCAATAGCTTAACCGGAAGTTGGATCAAGCCCTCGGTCTTTAATAGAAGGACAAAGGGAAGTGGCTTCCAATAAAAACCCTTCCTCTCACAAATGGTTTAGCTAAATGGATAGTAGGAAGATTTTGAACCAGTCTGAATAAAAAAAAGCAATCATTCAAATTTTACTTCCTTTGTATTTGCAGTTCCCTACCCGTTAAACCAACCTTTAGGGGTATACAAAACAAACTTCTAATGTAAAAAACAAGTACAAAAAAATGTCAGGTCTTCATGTATTGTAAAGCAGAAAGGGCAAAGACCAAACTATCTTCCTTTGCAAGCCACCTTTAGGACAGCCATGGTTCGTGTCCAGTGGTAGCTGAGCCTAAGGACATATGAGAATAATTCTTGTGTTCCTTTACTTTAAAGAAATGTATCATTCATTTACAGTAGGAATATTTTCCCGTACCATAAACAGAACCATCCAACCCCTGATGCAGAAGTCTTTGCCTCCATCTGTTTAGCATTAGCAGTAATTGCCAGCTATGCAGAGTTTATTACCCTCAGAAATCCTTACATAACAGGTTCTGCACTTAAAAAATAAATCTTTCTAAATGAGTTTATGAGCTTATAAACTCTTCTGTCAGACCAGCTTTTTATTTCTGAAGTTGCCTCTGTTGCAGCTTTAAAGTATTGCTGTTGCTTTATTTATGTCTGCACCCCCATGGGACTGGGAATCAAGTCCAGAGAAACAGGACAGAATATGTAGGAAAATAAACAGTTAACAACAACAGTTGGGTAACTTTTAGAGTGCTGTGTGTTTTTCTCCCCAAGTTTGGCTTGCAGCAAGATAAACCTTGTAACAGGAAGGATCCGAAGTCTCACTTTGGTTCATGCATGTGACTGGAAAAAACAAAAGACAACTGCTGGTTTGAATATAATGGATCTAATGATGGCCAAATTAATCTTTAATAGAGGGCAGTGACCCATGAAGACAAATTCTCAGCATTCACTGTGGCAATAACACTCAGAGCATGATGCAAAACTGCAGGCCTGGACTTAGCTTTTATAAGCCACGCGTGCATGCTGAAGATGAGGATGGCTGCACACTCTGTGGGACTTCTGAAACAAAGTGCCCACACTTATTTTGAGAGACAGATGCCTGCTCTTCAGTCTCTGACCAAGCCTCCATCAATTTGAACAGAATCAGGATTTGGCTCAAAATGACTTCAGTAAAACTATGTTAAGTTTTGTACCACATCACTGAAAGAGAAATCTGATTTGTATAAGAACATGCTGGGTATGACAGGAATTTGGGGACCATGATGCTCAAAAGGCATCTGAGCAAACTACTTTATAGGTGCAATTTTTGTGCAAGTGGAGATCAAGATATGAGAGACTTTGGAAAAGAGCATCTTGGTCTTCTCAAGTGGCTGATGTGAATTGTCACACTGAAAGCCTTGCTGCTATGACTTTCTCTCCTTTTCTGAAAGGTGAGAAGTCGTGGGGAAAAACTGGGAGTGTGCCCGCCGAGCTGCCAACTGCCCTGGTGACTATTTTGAGGTACGGTCCATGGGAGACTGAGGTGAGACCAGTCCCTTGCACACCCACCATGAATCAACCTGAGACTAGAGACCTGTACCTCTCTGTTAAAGTCCTTGTAGGCCGTAAAACATCTTATTGCAAAACTAGTAGTGGCTGCACTTATTCCCTAATCTCCTAGGCTTAATACTCCAATAGCTTCTCTACCAAAAACCTCCCTGTGGAAATGTGTGGTGATAATTCAAATTAAAGACCTGGTTGACAATATTTCAGTTCACTGTAATGGGCGTTGGGGTCAGGTATTATGCTGGAAAGCTAAAACATATGCTAGCTATGGAGGTCTTTTGTAGGAAAGTTGTTTTTTTCACCTCCATGATCACAGAATAATCGAAAATGAACTCACTTCTCTGCATTTCATTACACCTTTCAAAGCTCACATAAATATACGTGTGTAGGCATAAATACCTACAAACAGCCTTCTACTCACCTCCTGTGATTTATTTCTGCCTCATTAGCAGCATTTTTCCCTGGCCCCCAACTGTGCCGTCGGAAGGGTGACAGTGGTCGCATTGAGTTTCTTAAGACAGAGGAATGGGCAGGCACTTCTGTGATACTATCCATCTCTTCTTCCGTCTCGCCTGAGCCAGCAGGTTCACTGTCCCTTCCCTCTGCATTGGCCATATTGATGCAGCTCCCATCCAGACTGTGCCTGTCCTTATGCCTAATGGAGCTTAAGACGTGTGGAAGGGAAATGTCACTTCCGAGGGATGAGTTCCTCTCTAAAGACACTGTGTCATCTGCTGAAGAGCTGGAACTGGTGATATCGCAAGCAGACTGCTCCTCTTCTGGCTGCTGCAGCAAAAGCAAAAAACACAAACTCAGTTGATAGAAACTAACAGCGTGTGCAATCCAATCAACAGAGAAGCTAAATCTGTTCCTTCTTTTCATAGCAGATTACACCCTGTTACTTTATCCAAACTTCAACCTCATCCCAGCGACTGTTAACCTGGACTCCCATTCAGGTGTGCTGATGCATCCCAAGTCTCTCCCTTCAGTATTTCCTTCACACAATGTGCCTTATGACTAACACAGTGTCACCTGCAAGCCTAACCCTGACCTCCAACGAAGCCAAGATTTGTGAACCTGCCAAGTACTTACCTGGCTTTACTGCTGGATACAGGGTCACCATGACTTCAGTCAGGAAGTTCAGTCCTTACTGTGTGACCTGAGCTAGATTGGTAACTTCTAGCCATTACAGCTGAAAAGCTGACACAGTGTTGCACTGCATTGTCCCACACAAGCTGAACATGATTGGGTTGCATGAAACACACACAAAATCAAGACCAAGTCCCTTCCCCCATCCAATTTCCATTTAGCAAAAAGTTAACATCAGGGCTTTCAGCATTTTTTTTTTTAAAAAAATCTGACTGTAATCGAAAAAGACTGTTCCACAGGATCAACCACACTATTACAGGTCTTGATTCATACTGTAATTTTGGGTTTAGTTTGCTCCAAAAGCAATAAGTGGAATTCAAGCTGGTTCTGTCTGGCTACATGCCACATGCTGACAATACATCCTAAAGCGAGTCTATGATTATTCTGTGTTCCTGGTGGCTTGTATACAACACACAAGCATGTTTATGACATCACCTTATGACAGGAATGGTGTTTGCCTTCTGGGACTGATGTGCGAAGTTTCAGTTCATCCTTCTGCAGAGCCCTGTACGGTGTCATTTAAAATAGTAATATGCCAGGTGATCGGTCAGATTATATATAATAGCCTATTCAAGAAAGCCAGGGCAACTAACTGTCTTCAACTACAAGACTTGGTGATACTCAACAGGACATGAGCATCCAAGGAGCTGTAGTCTGTCAGCTTTCATTTGCTGAGGATACAGAGTTCAAATCGCCAGAAGCTTTTAGCAAGGCAGCACACGGCGTGAAGCCTTTTGCCACACAACTCACTACCATGGCAAGGTCCAAAAGTCTGAGGTCTTTCAAAAATCAATAGATTAGAAATCTAAAATCATGTACATTCTGGGCTTTGTTTGTCCTGGAACAAAATTATAAGTACAATCTATTACCATGTTTATATAGCAAAGAAATCTGGAAGTTTTCTTTCTTTTTCTTGTTAAATGGCCTTCAGTGAAATACTTCCTAAATTAAAGAGAAACCTTACAGTTGAGTTTGGCGGTCACTAAAAGTATCTCTGTTTTTAATTCTTATACTGATTTAATAGGTGCAGAACTGAATGTATACTGCATGTTTTAAATAAAAGATTCCACATTATTCTCCCAACCTCATCCATCAAGGGGGAGGAGTGGGGGGAAAAAAATCAAGGGAGTGGTCAGAAGGAGCTTAATACTTGCACGCAATAACTTTTTCCCCCTTTAAATATATATTTTGGAGTCAAAACCATTTAATGATTTGTATGCATGTCATGGTAAGGTTGATCAGTTATTAAAGGTACCTTTTGTGTAAATATACTCCGTGATGAAATTATGCTCTAATGTGGAAAAAAAACCCAAACAAGAACAACACTTTAGGGTCTATTTAAATGGAAGGTTTAGAATATGACAAAAAGGGTGGAGGGGGGGAAGGGAGGGAAGGGCGCTAGAAGGAACAGCCCCATTAAGTCACACTGATTTTATTTTGGACATAATAGAAAACAGTCTGACAATATGCATGAGTCATGCTGACAGTTTTGGCCAAAATTGCCTAAATTCAGACAAATTAAGTAGTCATTTCATGGACAAAACTCCATCAAAAAGGAAACAGTCTGCTTCTCTTTTGGGACACAGGCAGCTATTGTTACAGATACTGGAGTATCCCCGCTGGGAATTAAGACCGTCCTTCATCTGAATAGCACACGGGTGTGTCAGTTTGGGAACATCTATCTTGGACGTGAATGCAGTAGATGTGGAGCAGAACTGCCAAATTAAATGTGTTTTGCTTCTGGCACACTAACTCCCAAATAGGAAGAGGGATTTTAATTCTCTAAAACAAAACAGAATTCATTTCCCTCACATAGAAGCTTGCTTGTTTCTTAAATTACAGTTAATCTAACCAAAATGCAACTGAAAAATATGAAATAATCTGCTCTGTTTATACTTTTGCCTTCAGCTCCATAGCTGATTTGTACACAAGGGCCCGCACCTTGAGCCATCTCTAGGTCAGACGTGAGTTCAGTTCTGTCTACGTGCATTGAATGCAAGCAACTCAATTTTAAATGGTATACACAGCTGAGGGTGCTTTATAAATTACCTATATGCAACAGGGCTGAAATGCAGATTCTTCTGGCACAGAACATGTCACAATACTTAGCAAGAGTGGGTGCAGGTGGTACTGCAACAGAGATGATAATAAACAACAGTATAGCGAGGATTTATATTGGTGTAGATGCACTAATGTAAAAATACCCAACATAGAGGATGGGAGGACTTAATGCTGCTAATTTAGTATCAGTGGTAAATCTGTTATTGGATTCAAAGGGTGTGTCCAGACGTGCATGGATGTTTGGTTTCCCAGGCACAAGTAGCAACGGCTCATCTTGAACCACCGCTACTTGTCCCTGGGGAAAGCCCATGACACGCATGTTTTGGCACACAGCAAATTGCCCCAAGTGGGGTAGGGGCAGCTGAGGCAAGCACTGCACTGGCCCCAGCAGCCTTACCTAGGGCTCTGGGAGCCTCTGGGGGCTGCAGCCATGACAATTCTGCCACGCGGAGCCTGGCGGGCAGTGGAGCGCGGCTCCGGACAGCCCACTTTGATTTTCAGAAGTGCACACTGGTCAAGTGTGCATTGCTCTGTGTTTTTTTCCAGCAGGTTTTTTTGACCCCTGGATATCCAGGGGTCAATAAACCCTGCTGGAAAAAAACCCGGTGCAGCACACGCTTGGGCAGCACACCCTTGCGGCGCGGAGAACACTGGACTATGTGGCATGCAAACCACACAGCACCACATACTATATGACCATGCTCATCTGGACGTACCCAAAGTGTCCAGGACTTGCCCTTTCGTGAGTTTGTGTATAACACATGTCTTAAACATGTGAACACTTTGTTACTAAATGCCAAAACTATTATAATGGTTGTAACCCAATGTAATGTTTATAATCCAATCCATGTTAAACACCTTCTTGGGACAGCAGAAGAGAGTCCAGAGTTACTCTTCTGCTATAACAGAAGTAAAAAAAAAAAAGTAAAAAGATCGTTTTTTCTTTAAGTTAGAATTGCTGCCTTGCGCCTTCACCTTAAGCTGTATCAATCCAATCATGATCATAAAGCTAACTGCCAAAAAATGCCTTCAGTGGTGCAATCAAGAATAAGGACTGATATTGATAGCCTGGTCCAACTGGCTATCAATATCAGTCCTTATTCAGAGAGATGATCCATGGAGCTAGCAAAGGAAAATAGAAGTTAATCGCCTGTAACCAGAGTTTCTTGAGATGCATTGTGCTGGCAGTACCTTCTCATTCAGAGCAGGAATGCACAGAAGCCGCTCAAGGAACCATAAACCCTTTCATTTGAAAGATGACAACTATTTTCCCTTGCCTACATGACTTCACCTTGGAAGGCCCTGAATAAAGAATACTAGTTATATTCTGTCAAAGACTTTTTTTTTTTTTTTTTAAAGAAAACATGCAAAATGATGTAAAGT